GCTCGTATGGGTGTGATCGAAAATATATGAATGATATGTGTCATTATCGATTGATGATGGTCCGACATCAGAAAGTTTGTGTCGGTTGATAGAGGAGGACGACAATGACAATGACATAGTTGTTTGTTAACAAAAGATTAGGACAATCAAATGGTAACGAGCATTTATGGTCATCGGTACTTATCAATAGTAAGCAAATGATACAAGCCGTCAATATTGATTAGTGGACAAATCTTTAGAATTCTTCAAATTCTAGAATATTTATAAATTTTAGTTGGAGCATTTTGTTAATTTTGTCAAAATTTTACTACTTTGTGGCAGCCGATATTGATTCCTTATGAATATTTGATATTTGTAGAATTTTTAGGTGTCTTAATAACTTTAAATCCGGTGATTTTAAGGTTATTCTTGTTGAAATAAATGCAAATTCAGATCATAAATTTGTTTAAAAAAAAGGTCCAAATGTCCTAAATTAGATCACTAAAGTTTATATATTGCAGATATTTGTATTGAGATCGGATGATTTTTTCGGTAAAGTATTAAATATCATAATTTTTTTACGAAGAGATAATGCTAAACTCTCATTAAATCAAATGAATACATAAAATATTTCTCATCCTTTACATTTCGTTAAAGATGACTTTCTTATTGATCCTTAAAACAGCTTGTTCGTACAAAATTAAAATTTCTGTACTAAAAAGATGCTTTAAGAAACAGTAAGAAAATTGTCTCAAAGAAAATCTTAATTTTAATTAACTTCATTAGACTGCATGTGTAAGATTCACAACGAAAACTACATCAGCATTATCCTTTACTTCAACCAACTATTACTTCATTTTTCTATTCAAAAAAATTTTATGTTACAAAATTTTAATTAATTCTAGAAAGCAACCAAATTATATTATTCACCACAAAAAGTTTTTAAATAATTTTTTTTTAACGATTATAACAATCCCTAATCAATCAAACATATTATCTTGCACAAGCTATAATCTCAAAACCAAATCAATGAACAAAACTTTAGCCATCTTGGAAGAAGGTTAATTCCCATGGCCAATTAATACAAATGATTTTAAGGTGAGAACCAATGCCCAATAAACTAAAGAGAAAAGCATTTATTCAGATTCAATAACAAGCCAAGAGCCCTATAGGATTTTATCTTGGTAATACAAATGATTGGGGAGTCACTAAATGTTAGAGAGAGCAGGTCTTGTGTAGGAGAAATTATTCTGTGTGGAGGCCGGGCATAACTCTACATCTCTAGACGAATCAGGTGCAGCCACGTCAGCAGTAGTACACAACGAAGGGGTGATTTAGCGTATTCTGATTGGTCTCCGAACAGCATAAGACGTACATAATAATTAATCCTTGCGTAGGCATATAGGGGGGAATAAATCAACCCAACACAGGTCAAAATGAACTCTCATAGGGTTAATAGTCTGATTAATTAACAAATATTATCACAAAGAATGAGATTAATAATTAATTACCCCCCAACTCTGTCATTCAGACCCAGCACTACTTGCTCATATTAATTCATATCAGCTCAATAAACAAACAAAGAAGATAACGGAGAGAGAAAGAATAAAACAAAATATCCATATTCAACAATAGAAATTAACAGACCACATGAAATAGTTTACACAAAGCTCAATTAATCGATCACAATCATCACATAAAACCAAACTAATACGAGAAAGGGAGGGAGAGCTGAAATTCTACTGATTACCTAACTAGCTAAGAAACGAAGCCTCTCACCGCAACCCTTTCCATATCTGCAGATACGTACTGAAATTAAGTCATTCATTGCTCAGCGAAGCCATGCCCCGTTGCTAGATAATCAGCTTCAAAGAACCCAAAAGCACTACTCTGGTTCGCCAACGTCGGAGCTGCCGCGCCCGCGCGCGCGTACCCCACACTCCGGCCTGAACCGCCGCCGGAGCTACCGCGCTCGAGACACTGCACCTGCGTCTTAAGAAACTTGACATAGTGAATTGCCTCATCCAGCATCGACGCCGTGTCCATCTTAGTCCCTCCGGGCACAAGCCGCTGCAGGATTCTAATCTTTTCGGAGATTCTCTCCCTCCGGTGGCGCGCCGCCACGCTCTGCGGATCTTTGGATATCCTCACGTTCCGCCTTTTCGGCGGCTTGACGGATTCCGGGTCGATGTGAACCGGCTGCATAGCCGCGATGCGGAATATCATTTCCCGCATCGAGTCGACGGAGACGGCCGGCCCGTGGGGTGGCGCGGGGAGATATTCTTCTGCAACGGAGGGAGGTGATTGGAAGGAGCTGAAGACTGGGGAAGCAGGAGTTGGAGGAGCGCTGTAGGCTGATGATGAATCAGAGAACTCCGTGAGCTTCTCCATCTGCATAACCATGGCCGTCCAGTCAATCTGAGGGTTCGCCGGCATTGTCGAGGAATGGGGGAAGTTGGCTTCCATTGTAAGAGATGAAGGGATGAAGGAGGAGATGAAAGGATCAAAGGAATGGTTTTAACTCTGCAACAGTGGCTAGTTGTAACTCAGAGAATTATCTTTCTATCTTTCTTCCTATCTTCTGCCTTTCTTGTTTTCTTACTTGCTTTCAAGCAGGAAAGCAACCGCAGTGGGTAGGATATATATAATGCTGGACAGGTGTATTTAATGCTTATAGAATTCGGAAGTCTGGTTTTCTTAATGTAATAATTGTTGCTATCTTAAAAGTTTCAATTCTCGGCGGTATTGATTTGGTTTCTTCCTATACGAAGTCTACATTTATATTCGCCCGGACAGATTAGTCTGCTTATTAGGAGGATTATATCGGGTTTACGAAGTAGTTAACTCAGCTGATTTGAACTGTTTGTAATTAATTAGGAAGTAATTTTTCGGACATTATATGTGATCAGAGTTATTATTTTAATGAATATAAAATAAATAATAATAGCAAAAATTTTAATTTAAATAAAAATTATTTAATCAATGTACTAAATAATAATTTATAACTTTCCCATAAAAAATAATTTTTATCACTCATAAATTTTAAAACAACTCATTTTAGTTTTTTATTTGGAGAAATTGAATAGTTAGCTAATGGTGAAATTAGGAGTAGTTGAATGGGTACTGCGTTAGTCGTTTGTCCCATAAATTTAGGAGACAATTGATTTGTCTGGAACGGCCGGAACGAACATCCATAAAACCAAGCCAGAATGTAGCAACGTCAATACCAGCGCTCAAGTATTGCTCGTAACAACAGGCTTGGTCCATGTAGGCATAGAAATTAAATAATAATGAATAGACACGCCATCAAAAAATCCTATTGATCGGTGGCAAATCTTGATGCATATCATGAATTGAAAACTTCAAAAATTAAATATTTGGATCATCTAAGCCTGATGTCCAAAAATATCAGTAATTTGAAACAGTCTCAATACGGAGCGAAAGCTAGTGAATCAAAATCGGTATCGATTCCGAACACAATGAGCCAAAATCAAAATGACCGAAACAGATTTGGAATTAATATTAAACATTAATTGGATGATCCTAATATATATCCAAACATGTCACTGCTATAATGCTCAATTGAGGCGGCTTGACGACGATGAATCCAATAAGCCAAGATCGTTTAAATTTTTGGACATCATTTAAGACACTCAGAAAGCTAAACAATTGGCTCATATGAATTCGAATGAAAGCATATTGACTCGATTCGATGGAGCACTCTAAAAATTGCTATGAATCTTCATTTACAGAGATGTCTTTCTCAAAATTATATAAATTAACCTTCCTCTCTACATGAGAGGAAGGAGCGGGGCAGCGATCAAGTAATTGTGCTAGAAATAAGAATAATAAATATAACACAGCCACAAAAAACTTCTTATTGATCGGGTTGCAATTTGACTGCATATATGATATGAAAACTTCAAAGAATTAAATTTTGGCATCAATCTAAGCTCTGTTCCACAAAATTATAGTAAATTTAACTTCTCAATTGAGGAAAACATAGTGAATCAAAATCGGTTCATTCCCGAACACAAATGAGCCAAAATCAATGACTGAACATATTTGGATTAATATTCAAAATTAATTGGATGACCAATGAATATCCCAAATATATGGTCAGCCTTATAATCCTAATGGGCGGCTTTGACGAGAATGAATCAATAGCCCAACATTAATTGTGGGCCCGCTTTTTTTAGAAAAGGCTTGGACCCTGGGTTAGAGACTCAAGAGAGTTTTGAGGTTGAAAAATCTCAACCTCCATCCAGGCATAATCGCCTTCGAACCTTCGCCCCGTGGCCGCGACAGCAAAACCTTCGACCGACCATCACCGTTAGACCCCCATTATTTGATAGACACCGGGCCTCTGCCTGAACTTCATTGTCCACATACTAAGTCCTTCCAACCACCATCACCCGAATACGGTCCTTCCAATCACCATTGGCTGACTACGGTCCTTCAACCTCAATTGCTCGAGTATTATTCCTTCAACCATCGCCACTTGCTGCCTACAGTCATTCTTCCACCATCTCCCATCAACTTTGATCATTTTGACCATTGTCACCCGAGGAAAGTCCCTTCAACCTTAGTAGCCCTATTACGGTACCTCCAAATTCTATTGCCCGACTACAGTTCCTTTGACCAATGTCGTTTGACAACGGTTCCTCTGACCATTATAATCAACTAACATTCACTCTAACCTCTGTCGCTCGACTATGGCCCCTCTAACCTTAGTCGTACGGTTATGGTCATTCTAACATCCTTTGCATGTCGATTACGTTCCTTCCAACCATCATTGCCCAACAATGGTCAGTTCAACCTCAGTCGTCCGACTACAATCTCTTCGACCTTTATTACTGACTATGATCCCTCTGATCACTATTGACCTCTATTGCCCGGTGACTATGGTCATTTCAACTAACATCATCCGACAATGGTCCCTTCAACCCCAGTGGCTCGGCAATGCCTTATCGTGTTTTATTACATTGCGACGTAGTTTTGAGATGGTGGAGGCGAAATAGGAAGGAGAGAAGGGGAAGAGGGAGGGAGAGAGGGCTGAGTGACAATGCCCGCAACAATAGCAGTTGTTGGCGGAGATAAAGAAGCTATGACTATCCTACTACATTATGTTGCGACCTATCATTAAAGTCGAAGATTTCATTAAAAGAGTATTATATTTTATAAATTAAGAAGTATATATATTAAATATGTAAATAACGTGATTTGAAATCACCTATTTTTTAAAAAATATTATCAACAATATATTAATTGACACTCGTAATTAACCAAGTGATCATTAGTTAATTATACCATCACGCCTTTCAAATATTATATTATAATGCTAACTATTTTATCAAACAAGACGATGTATGTGGTAATTTGCCGGAGAGCTCAATGCTTGTGCGGCATACTTTACCCTATACTCTTTAACAAAAACTCAGTTTCTTATCAGTAGTCTTTGTTCTACATGTGGCAATTCATTCCTCTTTGAGTTTCTTGGGACTCAAAAAAAGATTCTAAGGAATATTCTACATGCATATAATTGAGGAATATTATTCTGAAATTATTTATTTATATTTGTACTTGCCAGATTTCTAATGCATGAAGAATGACATTACCTATAATTATAATTTAAATAAATAATTAAATTAGAACTTTGATAAATGTATATGGATTCGCAATTTAAAAATCTGACTTACGTGATTTTCTACCTATTTTTTATTGTTTATGCTTAAAAGATTAAAATGTGCTAATTATGAAGGGGTAAAAAAACATTATGATGGACGTAGAAGACAAGTTTTATTGCATGCTAGAAAATTTATTATTATAAAATAGAGTTTAACGTTCCATTTTTTATGAAGATCTTGTATGCACACAGATGAAAAGAAAGAATGCAGGGGATATCAGAAGTTGTATGAAAAAAATTTCGAGGAGGGAAAAAAAATTAAGGCATGTATGATCATTTGAAACAATCTACTATATATATTATAAGTTATGTTGCAAGCTAAGAAATTTATAATGATAGAGAGGGTTTTACATGAAGAATTAACATGCACACATATGAAAGAGAAAATGCATAGGTTGTTATACTTGTTATTGGCTCCCGTTGTCTTAGAGATTGTGAGAGAAGCAGTCGAGGGATTATTATAGCAGATGGTCGATGTTAGTTGTACAATGTTGGTAGGGTGGTAATGATGGATGATAGTTGTCAAGGAAACGATAATTAGGTGAAAAGGACGAGAATATGATAGTTAGGCGGTGATGATCAAATGATGGTGGTTAACGGTAGTCAATGATAGTAGTAGGACCATGTTGATGGCTGGCGGTGATCATCAGTGTTGAATGTTGGGTATACATTTTTAGAGTTTTTCAAATATGCAAGCTCTCTCTAATATCAAATTTAGGCCCTCTTCATTTTGAACATGAAGTTTTATTTATAGTATTTTGAGAGTAGTACATACTTTGATAAATTCAACTAAAATTTTATAGCACTCAATCTAAAAATATTATTGAATCATTTGAATATTGATTATTTATTCAACATTTAGGTGCCTTACTAGCCTCATAATCAAATAATATTAAGCCCGTTTGATTCATCTCATCAAGCCACTTGATTTGACTATCAACAATATCCTAAGACTGTGTAGTACTCCAATTACTATTATGGAGTTTTCAAACATGTTTCAAGTATTTGATTTTTGTTCATTTGGACTCTGATCAGATCACCTTTGACATTGTTAGGTTCATCTAGTTGAGATATTTAATTTGATAATAAGTTTGTTAAAATTAGAATTTGAATGATTAATTTTAAAATTTTAATATAAAAAAATACATAAAAATTCAAGTCCATCAAAAACTATTTTTTGTAGACATATCAAGCATTATTATTAAGACTATTTAAATTAAAAATTCATTGGGGCAAGATAGCTACTCACAAGAAAAATGCCCAGAATGTACATGATGGTTGATATTTGTCCTTTAAAACAAATTTGTGATTTTAGGCTCATAGTTGACATTTTATTGTCTATCGAGCACTAAAATATTCTAAAAGCTCATTTTTGGATGTAATTAAGGTTTTATTTGTGACAATATTTTTTTGCTTCTTAAAGTAACATTTTAGTACAAAAAATTAAATTTTTATACTAAAAATATACTTCAAGAAGTAGTAAAAAAGTTGTCCCAAACGAAGGCTAAATTAAAGATTCATTTGATCAGATAACTTTTTTATTGGTTTTTAAAGCAGGTTTTTATTAAAAAAAATTCGTAAAACTAAAAATTTTTGTACTAAAAATTTGTTTTAGAAAGCATGAAAAAAGCTAACCAAAATGAAGTGGGATCACTTTTTTATTATTTTCTAAAATAGTTTTAGTAAAATATTTTGTTACTAAAAATTTATTTTAAAAGCAATAAAAAAGTTATCACAAACGAAACCTATAATTTAGCTAGGAGTTTTTTTTTTCCTTTTCTTATAGGCATTTATGATACTTTAAATAGATCTATCTAAAAGGTATCCATTGGCATTTTTTTGCTCAATAGTTATATATTCGAAAATTTTTTTGATCCTTTCGTTCAACGTCAGGTATTATGTAAAGCTTTGGGAGGTTTGCTGTAGCTTATCCTTTGCTTGATTTTTGTCTCTCAAAATCTTAAAAGGTAATTAGGTCTCTTTGCTTGCATGAACTAGCAAATTAACTTGC